GCTCCTATAGGAGGACATCGTGGCCGAGAGAAAACATATCTCACGGTAAGTCGAGACTTTTACTGGCCCCGCCAGTATCAGTTTGTGCGAAAGTATGTTCGCGCATGCGAAGTCTGCCATGGAGTGAAGTCAAGTCCTTCACTGCGTGCACCTTTACAGCCTCTACCGGTTCCGGCTGAGTGCTGGGAATCCATCTCAATGGATTTCGTCTTCGGGTTACCCAAAGACGCACGCGGGAATACGGGTATTCTCGTATTTGTTGACAGATTCAGCAAAATGGTACACCTTGTGGCTGTACCAGAGACAATCACGGCAAGTGGCTGTGCTTGTGTCTTTATTGACACCATCTTCCGACTTCATAGGTTGCCCCGTGAACTCGTATCAGACAGAGATCCACGATTCACTGCTGATTTCTGGCGTTCCGTGTTCAAATCACTCGGAACGCGCTTGAAGATGTCAACATCTGATCATCCAGAGTCAGATGGTCAGACGGAACGTGCCAATCGTGTCCTTGAAGAGATACTTCGAGGATACGTACACTCCTTTAAGAGATGGAGTGAGTTTTTGCCAATGGTAGAGTTTGCCATCAACAACTCGGTGCATGCGTCCACGACACATACACCGTTTTGCGTGAATGGCTTGCGCCATCCGCGTGTACCCACCTTACTAGAGTGTAACTCTGGTTTAAGGGGGGGAGGGACTCGCGCGAGCAAAAACCGATTTGGTTCACGCTCATCACGCTCTGACGAAGAAGTCATTGCGTTTGATGCCGATATCGATAACATCGATATCGAAGAAGATGATGCCAGTGAGAGTGCGGAAGCCCTCACTGAAGAAGATGATCCCAGTGAGAGTGCGGAAGCCCTCACTGAAGAAAAGGTTGATGTTGCTGCAGTGCGCTCACAGCACACTGAAGCTAACGAGTCATCAGATGAGTTCATACTGGCTCGTGAAACGGTAGTCCGTTTTGTGCAAGACTCCATCGCCGAAGCGATGGATAAGCAAAAGCAAAACGCTGACAAGAATGGAAGGGCAAACACTCTTTTATTTAATAAAGGTGACTTAGTCCTACTGTCTACGGTTAATCTACCAAAGCATGTAGTGACTAACTTGGGTAGCAATAAACTACTATTCAAGTACATTGGCCCATTTCGTGTATTGCACCGCCTAGGCAATGCATACACGATCGAGTTACCACGTAAGATGCGAACGCATCCCACGTTTTACGTTGGTCGGCTTAAGCCGTACCATCAGTACGCTGCTTCTTCCGATGAAGAACGCCCTTGTGCTCAAGCATCTCGCAGAGAGCCTTGTGCTCCCGATGGTGGGCATCGACAAGGGTCTGAAGAGCAGTTATCTCAGCCCGAGACCGATCAACATTCCCACGAGCTACCCTTAGCTCGTCACGCAGAGACGTCAGAGATCTCTCGTTCTCGAGCTGAGCAAAGGCAAACTCAGCTCGATGCTTCGAGGCAGTGTCCGCCATTTGGAGACGCCTATTCCGCTCATGTTCGAGATCGTCGCGTAACCCTTGCGTTACGCGATCAAAGAAGCTCTCAGGAACACACCGATCCACATGATCGTGTGGAGAGCGTCTTTCCTCCTCCTCCACCTCCATTAGAGGACTCTCGTGGTGGCCAGCGCTATCTAGTTGAGCAGCTGTTGAACCACCGCGATGTGAACGGTCGTCGGACGAGTTATCTCGTCCGGTGGCGCGGCTATCCCCCGTCCTGGGATTCTTGGGAGCCCCGCTCCCAACTGATGATCGACGTACTGGGTCTGGTTGAGCAGTACGACGCGGCACATCCTGTGCCGCAGAAGGACCGCCGGAGAAAGTCTTCCCGGCACGGTCGTAAAGGGATTTCAGGTTGTCAATCCCTTCGTACATCTCAGTAGAGACACGTACGCGCCACCACGGGCTAGTAAGGAGGTAAGCCTCCTTAGGTGCTCGTGCAGAGTTGTTCACACAACATGGGCACGAGTCTTCCCAAGAGAGGCAGGGTAATCCTTTCTCCCTTGACAGACGATGCAGCTTATAGCGTGCACCTGTTGGGGTTCGCTTTTCAAACTTATCACGAGCTTTGATAAGTTTGTCGTTCCAAGCGTCACGACCTACATCCTCGAGGTTATGGATGTAGGCGTTCCACGCTTGAAGCAGTGAGGGACCATCACGTTTGTGATTCCCACTGTACCATCGATGTTTGAAGAAAGCATCGATGAAGAATTCATGTTCAGCGCGATAGTTTTTCGCGCTGGGGTCAAGGTGATGGATCCTTGACGAATCGAACAATCGTGTTCGATAACGATCACTCGTCGTCGCCGACAGGTGATCCATGACGGATTTTGGAGGCATCCATGCCTTCTTCTCAGGAGCGAGACGCAACACATTGCGGTCCCGCTCTTCCTGCGATGTGCCGACAGAAGTACTGGCACCTCGCTGTGAAGTGGTGTCAATAGGAGAACCGACACCACTGTTAGCGCCCGAGTCTCGCGACCTCAAGCGCCTTCGCTTCGGCGATGGTTCATCTGATGAATCAGATGAACCAAAGATGCTACGACGCATAGCATCATCCATGCCACGTTTGGCAGGCGGCTTAGATTCGATCGCCGTCGATACGGATCCGTCTTCCGTATCAGGAGAGTATGAGACACCGAGCTCGTACTCTGTGAAGACACGAGTGTCTTCATGACCAGCGCCTGTATCACCAAGTGACACAGGCTGAGTCGCTTCAGCAACCGATGAGACATCAGTTGCTGTGGTTTCTGCTTCGGCGTCCGCACAGAGACGTGCGGACGCGCTCTCGGCGGCCTTGCTCGCGCATCGCATGGGCTTGTTAACCATGCGATGAAATGTTGGAGAGTGGACTCGAACCAACAAGTGCAAACCCTGTCCCAAATGATTTGGGACGAGTATCCATTTAGTCAATCAGTCACTAAAGTGACTGATGGTTAAGGGGGGGGGTGATGTAACGGGGTGAATCGTTACACAACAATTTATAAGAAATTGTTAATAGAATATAACTATAAGAGTTATATTCTCAGAATATTGTCATAAGGACAAATATTCTGTAGCACTTACGAGTAAATCCTAATTGGTTGATATAGGCCATTATATCAACCAACGAAGACGCGCCACGACAGACGCACGCAATGAGTGGTGAGCAGATAACTGATTTACACATTTGTATTTAGACATAGTTAGATGAAGATAAATAGTGATTTATTGCAGACATTAACTATTATAAATACGGTTCTACTTTTTACTCTAACCAAGTACTCGCTTCTTCTTACCGTCTTCCTCTGCACGTACCAGTGTACGTGAAGTTACGAGGCACCGCCTTATTCTGTCATCAGAATAAGTAGCTTGTACTGTCACCAGTACAAGCTTCAGGGTGCCCCGCTACACTGCCAACTACCTCCCATTCTGAGCCACTCAGATGGGAGTAGCCTTCACGTGTGACGTGAAAGCTGTCGTCTTCTACGTCCAACATGTTCATGTTGGACGGACTACAAAGTGCTACCAGGTCTAACGGGGCACCCTTTGTTTGGGGTGCCGCGAAACTTCACGTACACTAGTACGTGCAGAGGAAGCTGATCTACTCAAACAAGCTGTTTGTGTAAAAAGCAAAAAGAGAACTGTACTAAATATAGTTAAGCAATCAATACAACTCGAATCTTTATCTAACGATATTGAAATTACGTCTTCGTATGACGACAATCTGCTCACCACTCATTGCGCGCGTCTAGCAGCGATTGGTGGTAACCTATGCTTAGCATGTCTTCTATCAACCAGTCTTTAAGCAGCGCATGAATATTATCCTAAAAGGAATAATATTCCATCAATGTAATCCTAAAAGGGGATTATTTTGGTGGGATATTGTCATGCTAGACAATCTCCCTATTGACACCGTTTGGTGTCAATGTCATGTAACGGGCTACCCCGTTACCAGCTTCGCAGCAAAACTAATATTCTATTGGACAGCTGGGGTCGCACCAGTCCAGTGGCACCATGAACGTCGCCTGAGTCGATCGCTGCCGTTTGTTTGACTATCTATGCAATAATAGCTTTATTCTATGTCAATTCTAACTTGGCACCTGGAGCCTTATATCATTCAGTCATCCATTGAGTAGCGTGGTACACATTAATTCCATCACGAAGTGGTACTGGTTATGCAACTGGTGCGGGATTGGCAATGTTTGCATCCGGATGGTGCTGAATTTGCGATTTACTCGTACGATATTACCTGGCGCGGAGTGCATGAATGGCAGCATATTCGTTTCACGAAAAATAGTCTTGCACAAATATACTAATTTGCGTATCAGATAACATCTCAACTCAAATTAATTGCGGAGGTCACTAAATGTTTACAGCTTGCAAGACTTTTAGGGTAGTTATCGTGAGAGAAGCCGTTTAAAGCAGTAGCAGAGACGATGTTCCACGTACAGATATGTTCGACGTCAACGATACCATCGCCTTCAGAAACGACTGGAAAATAAGTGTGCCGGACAGCAGAAAACTTGTCCGCACGTGAGGACTATGTATGTCCACGACAACAGCAGCTAGGAAAGGTCTAAATTGCAGCCAAGATCGATATCACCAGAAGAGGACCCATTGCTGTATGATGCACAATTCCCGCCAACTTGATCCCCAAGAAGGACCAAGATGCATTTAGATCACCGACAGCTCAACAAGGACCAGTGGATGAACTCACATCCTTCTCAAAGCAAGAACTTGGTCAATACCCGCTGGAAAAGCAGAAGTTTGCTAGTCACACAACACGACGCAATGCAGTACAATCTTACAAAGACACAACCACCGCAGACGAGCCTCGTCTGTCTGCGCTTCACAATTAACTCAAGTGATGTACATCCGACACGTACTCAGTAGAGCCGTCATTTCATTCGCAGTTACATGGTGCTTTATGAGCAATTCACTCACATATCGCCAACCTGTCAATCCAAGCTTAACGGCCATCCCGAGTCACTAACAGATACCACGCCTAGTAGTCTTCTTCTGCGCCAAACATGTCCATGCCGCCTCCCATGTCGACCTCCTCTTCCTCTTCAACAACCTTCTCCACTACTTTAGCAGCACCGGCATCAGCAGCAGGAGCACCACCAGCAGCAGGAGCAGCTCCTACAGATCATCAAAAACAAGGTTTAAAAGGTCAGTGGGCAACTGTCAAATAGAAAACAGCTAACAAAACAGGGCGTACCAGCGGAGGGACCAGCCAGGAACTTCTCAACGTCTAGACCACGGCTCAACAGGTCAGCAAAGAGCGGCGCAACGTACGCAGCCACGTCGTTGCCCGAGGCCTCGAAAGTCTTGGTCAAAGCGTCGGCCGTGACCTCCACACCAGCATCAAAGAGCGCCAGAATCGCCAGAGAAGCGGCAAACTCGTCGCGCTGGGTCTTGCTGAGGTCGGCGAAGGACATGGTGCGTCAGGAAAGATAGAACTGAATCGATTTAAGCGGAGGAGCGGAAATCAGTCTGTGCTCGGGCCAAATGGACGCGAATGACTGGTCCTCCAAACGCGCACGGATAGTGGCCAATGAATGCGATGAGGGGACGGAGGGGGTGTTGCGATTTTGTTTGTGAACCACACGAACTGAAATGGGTTGCTACTGATTCATCGAGCATCAACTGGACGACCAGCATCGTTTAGAAAGCTTTTCTTCGTCTCGAGGTGGCTTCACGATGGGACCAAGAATGCAATCTAGATTGTAGATGGCGCCTTCCCTGCCCCCAACACATTCTGTAATCTACCGTGCATCGAAGCACACTTGAATGAATAGACTCTATGCACTACCACACACAGTATACGTATACCACCGGTAAAGTGTGTTTGTGTCTGCATCGCGGTTGTGCGAATGTGTGAACGAATCGAGTCTCCCGAATGAGCTATCCATGCAGTCGCTATTCCAAGCCAAGGATATAGCAACTGTGCATAGATTTCTTCGCACATGCGAGTTTCTTCGCTTCGATTTATCGGCAAAATAGATGACACATTACCCTGCTATCGTGAAAGTTTTCTAGGTTGCTTGGAAGTTAGGGCAATGTTGATCTGTAGGTTTCTGTTTTTTCTGACGGAAACCACGGTGTCTGTTAAAGGATACGTTGAATGCTGGTTATACACATTTGTACCACTGCGGGCCACAAGCAGCACGGCTCGGCGTTACGGTACTCCCTATACAACGCGTGGACCCTGTCCAAAAAGCTACCTTTCCTCCTTAACAGCTTGATGCTAAAATGATTTGGAGCAACTGGTCGCAAATGAGCACGCTATGATATCGCTCAAACTTGCATGGCACGGGATAACGAAGTATCGTCGTCGAACGATCCGTGACTGCGGACATGTTGTAAGCTACTGATTCTTCAATAGCATCTCGACTTTTGTGAAGCTCAGCATTGCTACCGAGAGACGAAGGGCTGAAGATTGACGCAAAACCGCGTCGTGAAGTCAGATTGCTGCTCATAGACAAACGGACATTTAATCTTCATGTGAATAGCTGTACAAGCAAAAGCGTCCAGCAGTCGAATCGATTTCCACGTCTTGTCTCTTTGAGCTCCTCCTGGGGTATCGGTCTTCGTCATAATGCCGCAAGAAATCGAAATAGAAGGCAACAGCCAAGCTTTACCGCGACTGGATTCTTCACAGCGTTCCAATGGTGGCGATGGAGATATCCGGGAGTCTTTGGATGTCGTAGCCCTAACACGCGTGCAACGTCTTTCGGGTGTCATCTCCCTGTCAAAGGTAAGCGCTAATTGCGCGTGCACGAGTGCGGCAATTCTGCCCTGCGAGGAAATGGGAACTGACTACTAATTTGTAGGCGAGTTCTCGAGGTGGTGGTGTCTGTCTATGCGTGGACGAAAGATTTGACACCACCTTTTTACCTGGTTGAATAAGAAAACGAATTAACTGATCCGCAGCGAAAGACGCGCTGTCCCTTATTCAATGCGCTAACTAACTGCACAAGTCAAATGGAGGCGCGGGGGTCGCATGGTCGTTCCCAAAAAATGGACCCCCATGAGACACAATTTGACACGCTCCGTTTGTTCGGCTTTCCGGCCTTTTAGCGCTCCTTTCGTCGTCCTAAACGTGAGCTAAAACCACGCGCGCCAGGCCAGACAGAAACGGGACCTGCTCTCGCCTCGCTCACTTGGTTTTCGTATGCGACAGTCTCACATAGCAACAACGGCAGGGGATATTGCCTTGCATTGCTATCGTCCAACACATTTGAGCTTTCCAGCCGTCGTGGCAACACAAGATACAGCGGACGAGCAGGCAACCTGACGACCTCGACGGTTTCTCGCCTGAGCAACGCACGCCCTCGTGTCTCTCGTCTTCCACGCGCTCGCTCGTCATCGTCACGTGCATCATGGAGTGGGAAGCGCAGTGTCTCGAGTGCGACGAAGTGCTGGACGACGACGACGAGCTCCTGAGCACGCAGGAGTCCGATACCCCCAGCCAAAAGCAAGGCCTTGGTCTCGTCGGATTCGACGCACCCTGGACGACCGAGCTCTCGTTCGAGGAGCAGAGTGTAGGTTGTGCATACACCTCTCTCTCTCTATCGCTATCTATCCATCTATCTATCTATTTATCTACCTGTCTATCATGCACTTGCTTTGAGGTGGCTCTTTTTTGTCATTCTGGTGACACGTATTTGTCTTTTATCTGCTGCTTGGGTTTTATTTATTGTTGTTAATAATAACAATTCGATTGCTTGTCAACTGTTGTTTTATGTCTTGATTGTGGACAGCTTGTGGCTTTAGAAGATCGAGACGTGGACAGCACGTACCGTGCCATGCTGCGCCAAGAGCTCGTGCGACCGGATTTCTCGCAAGAGTACGAGTACCTGAAATACCGGCGCGTGCTGGTTGACTGGATGACTGAAGTGGGGGAAACGCATCTGAGGATGCGCAAGGAGTACGTGCACGCTGCTGTGGGGTATCTGGAGAAAGTGCTGGCGCGGCACGAGACACTGCCTCGGAAGGACCGGTTTCAGCTCCTGGCACTATGCTGCTTACGCGTGGCTCTCAAGTTTCTCGGCACGGAAGAGGAGCTGCCGCCGATGGCCGAGTTCTGGGAGATGGGGAACCGCATGTATTCCTTTGACGAGATTAACGACGCCGAGGCCGACATTTTTCAAAAGTGCGTTGCAATGCCGACGGCAACTTCCGTTATGTGCTCTGTATTGATGCGTGGGAACTTTTGCTGCTGTGGGTTTCAATCATGCCACTACTGTCGTGCTGAACTTGCTTGCTGCGTGCGTGGTGGTGTATTGTGCTATCTACAGACTGGGCTTGAGACTGACGGGTGTGATGCCGCTGCACTTCCTGCAATATTATATGGGCCAGACCGTGCTGTTTGCCACTGACCGAGTGCTGGGATCCGAGCTTGTGGACGAAGCTCATGGATACTACTGCAAGTATGCCGAGTTCTTTGTGGACCTGGTGCTGCAGGAGTACACGTTACAAGTGTATCGTCCGTCTGTCGTAGCCGCTGCTATCCTGGTGGCATCCCGCAAAGCGCTCGGGGTCACGCCACTCTGGAGGGACGAGCTGTCGACGCTCACTGGTTACGATGAGGAGCAAGTCGCGCCGTGCTTTCGAGCTCTCTGGAATCACTTTGAAGCGGCCTTTGGTCGTCAGAACAAGAAACACGAGCGGGATGATTCCCCTTCCAGTGTGGCCGCATTTTAGTCTGCACGCGGTTGTTGCAGACAACTTCTTGACGTCATCATGGTTACTTCAAAGACTACGATGACGGCCGGAGGTGTGGAGGAATAGGTATTAGGCGTAGTCAAGTATTTATGTCGCAGTCGGCTTCTTGCTGCTGCGATTGGGCTTGTGTTTGCACAAGTGTAACAACGCAGCAGGAGATGCTAGCGCTAGCGCTACCGTACGTGTGAGCAATCTCGATCATTAGATTACTGGCACTCATTGATCGAAGTAAAAAGCTATCAAGTTGTTGCCTTGAACCTGTTCAGTACAGCCAACCAGCACAGTAGCATGCATACTTGTTCAGCTGGCAATTGTCGAGGCTTCACCTTTTCCGATTGAAGTCAACTGCTGCAGCCGAGCAGCTATGCAAACCATTTAGTTGCAACCGCACGGACGTTATACTTTAGACATTAGCACTATAGACATTGCTTCATCCGACTCCAGTCAAAGCGCTCCGTGCTCAAGACCATGGCAGTGAGCGATCAGAATCACCGATTTCGCCTCCTTTGACACGATCCTTCACCTTCACGTCGTAGTAGCCAACACCTGGACTCTCGCTCTTGGTAATGAACGAGTCACGTGGAACCCGAGCACGTGACATTACGGCTCCGCGGGATGACAGTGAAGTAGCCCCAACCTCCGACGCACTCGTGGTAATTGCCTCGTACTTCTGTGGCATATAGTTGTACCGCTTGGTCAGATTCTTGTGCATGGCTCCGCGCGGCGAATGGATAGCTCCCCTTCGAGCAGACTGAGCTGATGAGTTCGACGTGTTGGACGATACCGACACGTTGTCGGCGTTCGTGAGAGTCGCAGCACGAGCCGTTCGTGCACGGATATTAGCAGAGCGAGCCACAGGCATGGATTGCGCTGAATACCCCGATACCGATGAGATGTTTGACGAAGCGTAGGCTCCCGCACCACGTCGAGGTAGACCAGCTCGCTGGTCCATGGCCTCCAATACCTCCGGCGTCAGTCGAAAGTTGGACCTACCACTGCTCACCGATCTTGCTGCTGCAAGATGTGAACGAGTCGCATCACTGTGCTTGGTGCTCGCACTTCGCTGCTGCTGCGGCTGTTGCCGGAATGTTGCAGTACCGCTCGTTTCGCCACGAAGGGCTAGTAGCTTTTCGGAGCATAACTCAAGCTGACGCGCGATCTGCTTCGCTTCTTCGTGCTTACGCAGCAAAGCCACCTTGAGCTGCTCTATTTGCTGGACAAGTGCGGCTGCCCCATTATTTTCTAGTCCAGGACGTCGGTTCGGCACACGTGCGTCAGGCCGTTGCGTGCGCTCCAGCTGGTTATCAAGCCTATGTTGATGTGTGTGACCAACCCCATACTTTTCTCCACTTTGGCTACGAAGCAAGTTTCGGCTGGGACCACTTTCATTGCTGCTGCTGCTCCAACCAACGTGACGATCAGCAGACTTTCCTTGACACCCTTCCTTCTGCTGCAAGTAAGCCGAGGGCGCAGCAGCCGGTGCTGGCGGTGGTGGAGATGGTACTTGGTGCTGCACAGGGTCAGGCAATATTGACGATGTCACCAGCAGCTCGGGTCCTCGGAAGTGGATATCCAGCGGAAGTGTCGCATTCTTAATGACATCGTGCACCTGACGAAGTCCCATATCTTGGAGCGAGGTCCCCGCAATACTCACGATCGTCACACCTGGTGTCAGCCGTGAGAAATGCGTCGCTACGCTCTTGGGGTAGATAGTGCCTACCTCCGTGTTACCATCATTTCCACGTTTCATCGTGAATCCAAGTGGAAGTTTGTGAAACAACACACAGAACTCACTCGTCTTTCCAGCACCATCGACTGCGCCGTCCTTTGTACCATCGACAGAGCACATGGCTGCACTCTGAGCACTGCCATGTTCCGCAAGAGCAACTCCAAGCTCCAGCTCGTCACCACGAGCGCAACACTCGCAGATCGGCGTCCCCGCCACCAGAAATTCCTGCTTCTTGCGATGGAAAACCACGTTGCACTCAGGCACTTCGCTGTCCTTGAACGAGGCGTGATAAGCTTCAGCTGCTACTCCAAGCAGCGCTTCACATGGCCATCGGGGGTTCACAACACAGCGCAGAGCGACGCCTACGACGTTGACAAGGACATCAAACTCGTCACCATTGCTCGGCTTCTGCGCCGTCTTTTGATATGCAGCCAGCGTGGATGCAGGCAGCAGTGTCTCCTGTGGTGATTCCATCGTGCAAGCGGCAGGGGTCGCGGAGACACGGGCTGGCACGGAGCCAACGAACAGAACGTCTTGGCCGTCGAGCAGCTCTTCTTGAGAACGACCAGCCGCGGGAGCGACAATATTGACCAATGAAAAGACGGTCGTCGTCGTTGTGTAGCCATTCCGGAAGCAGCCATCGTCCATGGATTCGGGGCTGACCACCCACCAGCTACAACAGTTTTCGAAATGACAAGACGTCGAAACAAGTCTCGCAGACGCGATCAGGTTTGAGCACTTGGAACTTGGGGATCGCAATCTTGTGGCTCGAGCAGTTGTAACACAGCGTGCGACCGCAGTGGCGACAATGGTGTTTGCGCATCGCGAGACGGAACGCTATGTGGCACGAGGAACACTCGGTCGTTTGCTCGTCACTGAGCCGCTCCGGTGCCTGTGACAGGTTGCGCAGCACCGGGACGAGCATCGAACCTTGATTCGTGCTCTCGACGAGATGGACAACGCTACGACCGGCGGCATCCAGCAAGTGGACGTAGGCTCCTGCACTGACCAATGCGACAGCAACGTCTTGACTCCCTCGACCGACAGCCAGATGCAGTGCTGTACTACCATCTAGACTTTGTGCGTGGATACTGACACCGTGTTCAATCTGGGTGCATGGACAATCATGGAAACGACAGGTAAGCACAGACAGTTAGAGCATCTTCCAGGCAAAGAGAACTGCGGGAGATACGCCACTTACAAACGAGTGGACAAGGGAAGCTGGACCGCTTTGGTGCGAGCAGAAGAGATGCAGCGGAGTGTAGCCAAACCAATTGGATCTGTTTGGATCCGCACCATTCTCTAGAAGAAGCTGCAGCATCTTCTGACATCGTTCGGACGGCGACATTGCCGCAAGGTGAAGACCAGTGTTGCCCTTCAAGTCTTCTTGGTTGATGTCAAACCTACTCAACTTGTCGGACTCCTCCAAGTGTTCGCTAATAGCATTTCCATCATCCTTGCTAGCCTGTTCCACGAGCTGTTGATATTTTTCGGAACGAGAATCATCCGTTGACAGGCTACTGGCAGTGCTTTGGTCTGGACTCGTTGCCAGCGTTTTAGTGCTTGAGCCATCGGTATCATGAAGTAAAACAAGGGCGACTGCTGTGTGCCCGTTAGCAGCAGCATGATGAAACGCGTTCTGACCTTGGTCGTCAACAATCTCGTGGTCTGCGCCATGGCGGATGAGGTAGGCTACTACGGCAACATCTCCCCGTGCAGCAGCAATGTGCAACGGCGTCTGTCCTCGCCGGTTTGGAATGTTGGCATTCGTTCGGAATGTGCTGTTCAGCAAGACCTCCACCGTCTCGATATTAGCCGCATAGTGTAGCGCTGTATTTCCTTCCTCATCAGGCAAATTAGCAGCGGCATTGTGCTGTAGCAGTAGCTCTACCACTGCACTGTGACCCTTCCGACTTGCAATGTGCAGCGGTGTTTGCTGGTGTCCAAACTCAGCTGTAATGTCTTTATCGCCGTCTTTTAAGCGCGAGATCAAGTTGACATCGTCAGCATTCCGTTCGATCAGAATCTCACAGTGCTGCACGTTCCCACTCGCACTTGCTAGAAAAATCAACGGGATCTTGTCCGTGAGAAGAAAGAATGGCGCGCTTTCGTCTACTAGAAGCCGGCGAATGATCGTGTTGTTTCCACTTTCCAGCGCTGCAACCAGCGGCAAGTCGCTCTCATCTTTTCCAACTCGATTCAAGGGTTCTCCAAGCCGCAGCAGTTCGTTAACGACACGACCAAGTTGGTATCGCACTGCAACAACCAGTGGTGTATCAGACCGTAATCGCAGGATCTCGCACAAGCGCTCCGTTGAGCACCGTCCGCCAGCGTCGCCCTGGACAAGCTCTTCAAACGCCACTTCGTCCATGCGTTGAAGTTGTTGCATACACATCCTCTGGAGTCTACGCACTGCTTCCGTGCACTTTACCAGCGCAGACCCACCTGTCTCTCCTCCAGTAGCTCGTCGTCCAGCTTGCGACAATGGCAGCGCCACGTCTGCGCCTTCTCTTCGTCGAGCAGTCAATGGATTTGTAGCCAGTACCGTGTCCATAAACACCAACACATCCATCGTCTTCTTTTGCACCTGCCGCGTCTTCGCGTCGCGCTCTTCTTGATCTTCTGCTTTACCGCCTTCTTCAACGACCAACACGTCCCCAATTCTCTTGACGCAAATGTCAATCAGCGAAGGCACTAAATACACAAACGCCGCACGCAAAAGCTGCAGCCAGAACTGTTCACGGCCGTGTCCTTCGTCGTCTCTGACGTCCTCAGCGTCCAGCTCGTTCGTGTACAGAAACCTCAGCAGCGCATAAAACACGCGGTACGGCGTGTCTTGCACGTGGATCTTCAGTGGAAACCGCACGTGACCCGGGGCTCGACTGCTCTTGGCGCGTTGCAGCGCCGAGTGGAACGCACCGCTGCGGAGCGACAGGACGAGACGATGGGCTGGAATCAGATGGTCCTTTCGCGTCGAGCTCCTGTCCTCGTCGTCGCTATTGTCGACAGTACGTAAGTCGTCACCATCTTCACGTCCTGAGGCTTCTGCAGAGAATAGAAACAGCACGTCACTCAGGTAGTTGGTGGCAAACAAGTGCTTGACCTGCAGCAGGTCCGACCTCAAGTCGTGCTCGTCTCGAGTCATGATACCCAAAAGGATAATCCGATGGTTATTTTTCTGTGAGCGCACTTAATATCAACTGACGCGTTATTTCAAAGGGGTACGGTGATGGACTGATTCGGTTACGTCCGACTGCGCGCATCGTCCCCTTTTTCGATTTTGGGTCGTTTGCCCATCGTTTGCCCATCTTTTGGGACCCGTTTCTATTCGTGTGAGTTTTTTTTTTCACTTGTCGTCAAGTCACTTGATAAAAAAAGCGATTCAATCGATGGCGGAACCCAACCTACACCTGCTGCGCCAGTCGCTCGAAGCGACGCTGTCTCCCTTTGCCGAGACGCGCAAGGGCGCCGAGTCGTACTTAAACTCTCTCTCTGCTCGTCCCAACTATGTGCTGCTGCTGTTGCAGGTCCTCGAGAGCGCGAGCGAGTCGCTGGAGGTGCGCCTTGCGGCTGCGCTGCTGTTCAAGAACTTTATCAAGCACAATTGGGACCCGGAGAAAGAAAAGTGCTTGTTTCTACTGGAGAAAAACGTGGTCAAGCAGCACCTTGTCGAGCTCATGTGTCGCATGCCCGAGACGCTGCAGAAACAGCTCATTGAGGCGCTCACGACCATTGGCGAGTACGACTTCCCCGCTCAGTGGCCCGAGTTGCTGCCTCAGCTCGTGCAGAAGCTGCAGACGGAGCAGGAGTGGCAGGTGCGCAATGGCGTGCTCTTGACAGCCAACACGATCTTCAAGCGCTTCCGCAACGTGTTCAAGTCGGACGATCTGTTTCGCGAGCTCAAACACTGTCTCGAAGTGGTCCAGGAACCGCTGCTGGCGTTCTTTAAGGAGATGGGCAACGCGCTGCGTGTGCCGGGAGTTCCTGTGGTGCAGCAGGAGCAGATGCTGGCGGCTTTACGACTCATGAGTCGCATCTTTTACTCGCTCAATTGGCAAGACTTGCCAGAGTACTTTGAAGACCACATGTCCGAGTGGATGGAGGGATTCCTGAGCTACTTGAGCTATGAGAATCCATCCCTTGTGGATGCGGACAATGAAGATGAACCAGATTCAATTGACCGACTGCTCGTGGCTATTGTGGAGAATATTAACTTGTACGCAGAAAAGTACGACGAAGAGTTCAAACCGTTCTTGCCGAAGTTTACTGAAGTGATCTGGAACCTACTTGCGCACCGGATTACGCTGTTCCCCAAGCATGACGAGTTGGCTGCCAAGTGCATGAAATTCCTGACGGCAGTAGCATCACGGTCGTTCCATCGCGCGCTCTTTGAGTCCCCGCAAGTGCTCACCGAATTGTGCGGTATTGTGGTCACGAATTTGCAGCTGCGCACGTCAGACGAAGAGCTTTTCGAAGAAAATCCGATGGATTACATTCGCCGCGATATTGAAGGATCTGATGGCGACAGCCGCCGTAGTGCTGCTCGTGATTTGGTGCGCGGTTTGCTTGGCAACTTTGACGAGGCGGTGACTCAACTCTGCATGACCGCGATTCAGACGCATTTGCAGCAGTATAAAGCTGATCCTGTTCGCAATTGGGCAATGAAGGATGTGTCGATCAACCTGGTGATTGCCATTTCCGCAATGAAACAATCTCGTCTGCGTGGTGTGTCTGAGGTGAACAGCCGAGTGCCACTAATGGACTTCTTTACGGCCGAGGTGCTGCCGGAGCTTTCCACTCCCAATCAAGCGTCTCTCATCTTAAAAGCTGACGCGATCAAGTTTGTCTCTACGTTCCGTAGTCAGATGTCGGTGGAAGTCATGGATCAGCTTTTTCCTCTTTTGATGAACTGCATGGATCCTTCACAGTTTGTGGTGCACACATACGCTGCTGCCTGTCTTGAGCGCCTTCTTATTGTTAAGGATCCATCGGGCACACTCCGATTCTCAAAGGAACGACTTGCACCGTATCTGGGTAAGCTGCTGGAGCACGTGTTCAATATCCTTGAACAGCCTGACTATCCCGAGAATGACTACCTGATGAAGGTGGTCATGCGAGTGATGAACGTGGCAAAGGAGGGCATCCTGCCTCTGACTGACATGGCAGTCAACAAACTTACCAGTATCCTGAACCGAATCTGTGCAAACCCCAGTAACCCGTCGTTCAGCCACTACCTTTTTGAGTCGCTGTCCGTGCTAATTTTAAACGTGTGCAAGACGAACCCCGCCGCAACCGAGCGCTTCGAGGAGTTACTTTTCCCGCCTTTTCAGAAGGTCCTGACAAACGACGTTGAAGCGCTCTCACCTTATGTGTACCAAGTGTTGGCCCAGATGCTGGAACTTCGGCCGAGCGGTGTGTCTGATGCGTACAAGAGTATGTTTCCTGTGTTGCTGAACCCTACATTGTGGGAGAGGATCAGCAACGTGCCCGCCATTGTGAAGCTCATTGAGGCGTACATGCGGAAGGCTCCGAACGACGTTGCTCAGTCTGTGCAAGGCATCCTCGGCGTTTTCCAGAAGCTAATCTCGTCCAGATCAACGGAAGCAAGCGCCTTCTCGCTGCTGCGGGGACTTTTTGCTTTCATGCAGCACGAGGCTTATGCCAATTTCCTGGGCGAAATTGTAAAAATCTTGATGATTCGACTTCAGACCCGCATGGCAGGTCGCAATTCCGTAGGGTACACGAAGGAGCTGGTTTACACGGTGTCCGTGCTTATTGGAAAGCTCGGCCCAGACACATTCTTGGCATCTTTAGAAGCTCTGCAGAAGGGTATGTCGACCATGTTCATCAAATCGGTGTGGCTGACGTGCAACGTGCGTGGTCGTGGTCCTGCAGAGCGGAAGGCTTGCGTGATTGGCCTCACGCGACTGATGTGCGAGACAGAACTCTGTGTTGCTGACCTGGACATGTGGACTGAGATGTTGGCAGCAGTGGTGAAGGTACTTGAAGAAGCCGGAGAAAATGGAGCCGTGGTGAAGGACGAGGATGAGTCGTTGCTCGAGCTGGAACAGACGGGTTATGAAGCTGGTTACGCGAAACTGTTCTTTGCGTCAGTGGTCTCGCTTGACTACTTGCAGGAATACCCATCACCAACGCAGTACCTTGCCGAGTCGATTGCCAAGTTATCAGCTTCCAAACCTGGCGTGGTGAGTCGTTCCTTGCCTCGCTATCTGAAGCATTTAACCGTGTCTAACCGTGCCCCTTTTTGTACATTTGTGCAGCATTTGGCATACGCCCAGACAAAACTGCCGACGCCAGCGACGCTGACAGTGCTGCAGTCGTACTTTGCTCAGACCGGCGTGCCATTCCAGTAGTTGGATGACGGGCTTACCTTGTTGCGCGACACGGAAAATGGCAAAAGGGAAGAAACTTGCAGCTTGCACTGAAAGTAGCTCAAGTGTTCGGTCTATTTCGTCAAGATGAGACGTTTGCCCGCTCTCCTCATGCATCACTGTTCTTCTCGTTTATTACAACGTAGTTTGCTTTCAATCATGTCGAAGGGAGTGTGTTTATCTATTGCTCTATGTGATGAAGACTACGCTAACAAGGGACTCGATACACCCCAGCGTGCTCAGTTGCTCTGGACGAACGAGAGGGAGCCACACGAGCTGGCAACGCACAGCGTTCGCACAGCATGTATACCGGTTCTCGTTCGAACAATATAGCCGTCGTTGTTGGACTGGGTGCCTAAGCAGCTGAGACGCTCTCGAGTTCACTGCGGCGCGTTGTACATGTCGATGCTCTCGTCAGACTGAGTGCGGTTGAAAGGCGTGAAACCCATATTTTTCGTCTGCATACGCTCGTCGCAGCGTTCAGCGTGCAATCGCTCGAAGTAAGCTTCGTTCACGTCGCCCGTAACGTACACGCCGTTAAAGCACGATGAGTCGAAATCCGCGAGCGCCGCGTTCTCCTGTCGCACGGAATCCTCCAAGTCCTTCAGTTCCTGAAAAACCATCCACTCGCAGCCAATCTCCTTGGCCACCTGAGCCGCGGTTTTGTTAAACGCGATAAGCTCCTCCGTCGTCGGCATGTCAATGCCGTAGACATTGGGATGCCGGATGGCCGGAGCTGCCGACGCAAAGTACACGGCCTTAGCACCATTCTCACGCGCAATCTGCACAATCTGACGCGAGGTGGTGCCGCGCACAATCGAATCGTCCACGAGCAGCACGACCTTGCCCTCAAACTCGGAGCGGATAGCGTTCAATTTCATGCGCACGGTTTTCTTACGTGCAACCTGGCCCGGCATGATGAAGGTACGTGCAATGTATCGGTTCTTGACAAACCCTTCGCGATACGGAATGTTCATTTTCTGCGACGCCTCAAGCGCTGACGTGCGGCTTGTGTCAGGAATGGGAATTACCACGTCAATACCGTGATTCGGGCGCTCACGCAATATCTTCTCCGCGAGCTTGGCTCCCATATTGCGACGAGCCTGGTACACCGAGACACCGTCGATGAACGAGTCGGGACGGGCAAAGTAGACATGCTCAAAGATGCACGGTGACAGCTTGGCACCAGCGATGCACTTCCGAGTGGTCATTTCTCCACTTTGCTTGATCACCATGGCTTCCCCCGGTGCAAAGTCGCGCTCGGTCTTGAACTCCAGCGTGTCAATTGCTACACTTTCTGAAGCCACGACGTAGTCGCTACCATACTGGCTCTTACGCGTGCCATACACGAGAGGACGGATTCCGTGCGCGTCGCGGAAGGCGACAATGCCAAAGCCATTAATCAGCACCACTGCCGCGTAGCCACCGCGGCAGCGCTTAAACACGCCAGTAACAGCATCTAGCACCATCTCCGTGTCCAGCGGCTGGTCGACGCGCCTGAGGAGCTCGTCAGCCAGAATATTGAGTAGCAGCTCCGAGTCCGAGTCCGTATTTACGTGACGAAAGTTCGTGTTGGCCAGCTGGTCCACAAGCTCGTGCGAGTTGGTCAAGTTGCCATTGTGCGCGAGTGCCACACCATACGGTGAGTTGGTATAGAACGGCTGAGCCTCCGAGCTCGAGCTTGAGCCTGCTGTCGGGTAGCGGCAGTGGCCAATGCCCATGTTGCCACGCAGATTCAGCATGTGGTTCTGCTTGAACACGTCCCGCACAAGGCCATTGTCCTTACGTAGGAACAGGCGCTTCTTCTCACACGTCATGATCCCAGCTGCGTCTATTAGAACATTGGCCACCAAAAGAGAGACAAAGGTGAGCAATGGCATCGATGGGAAGAGAGAAGCGGGGGAATGGACCGTCCGTACCTTGGCCTCGGTGCTGCAGTACAGTAAGTCCGTCGTAGAGTCCCTGGTTGCAGTGCTCGAACCTGTTTGCGAGCATCAACGCGATGATGCCGCACATGCTTCAGAGAGAGAGAGAGAGATGGAGAGATGGAGGACGTGAGAGTGGCTGGCTAGCTGGCTGGTTGGCTGGCTGGAAAGGCGTGGGTTGTGGCGGTGCAGCACATCGCGGTAGGTGATTGGTTAAAACGAATTGAAGCGGACGGAATAGTAGAACTGGTTGAAGTGGTTGAGTGGCTGTAGCCATTTTGCAATGGATCAGAGCTACAGGGATATTCATTCATTCATTCATTCGGTCATGTGCTACCGTGCTACCTGTTGGATTCTAGCGAGAAGCTGCACGAATCGTATAGAGTTCGTACGAGAGTTCCAGCGCTTCGTTGACCGTCTTGAGAAGCTCTGTGCCATCAGGCAGCTCATCAACTCGTGTGATGCTGTAGGAAAGGTCGGTACTTGCAGCCAAGAGTGCGTGCAGATGAACAACCCCGAAACGACTGTGGCTGTTGGCGTTGACGAGGTAAGCCACGCCGTCGAGGTTGCTCAGCAGGTGGTGTCGCACAACTCGCAGAAACCCTTCGGCTGTACTTGGCTCGCAGATGATGTCGCTGCCAATAACCACTTGGGCCTTGGGCACGGCCTCGATACTTTCAGCAAGGTCCCAGTCCAGAAGCGATACCTGCACCTCCGGTTTCGCTGAGTCAAACTCGTGTGTGAACGGTCTGTTCAGCTGCACATTGTACTCTAGCGCTGCGCATGTATCAGCTTGGTAGTCCGTAAGCGTAGTGTGGCTCGCATATCGTGCTGCAGTGATGCCTCCGAGTCCAAGACCACTGCCCACCTCAATCACGCTTTTGCCTACAAACAGGTCACGGCGCTTGTGAATCCAGCGAGCGAGGACAAAAGCTGCGCCCCAAAGCAGATAACCCGTTTTGCACTGTCCTGTCATGCGAATCGGGACCTGACGAATAAGCACATGCAGCGTGCTTGGGCTGCCATCTGGATCTTTGATAGCACTGTCGCGGACGTCAAAAGGCAGCGGCACTGCACGCGGCCACAACTGCTCCACTTCCCCCACTTGGCGTACGCGGTGTGGAAATGTGATAGCGGATGGGCTACTGGTGCAACCTGAGACGACCGCGGCAGCTGCCTGCAAGGAGGAAGGTATCATTCACATCCGGCAGAGTCAGCTTCTCGTTCTTTCAACAGACATCCACTGGAATGGCTGACCTCTTGGACATCTTCGTTCTCGTGCTCCATAAGATGCATTAGCAAAGGGTGGGCTCCAATACGCGCTACAAAACACTATCTAAGTAAGAAGAATTCATCAAGAGCCAACTATCTTGTAGCTGTGACCTCACCAATAAAGGTCGCGTTGTCTTCGTCAACCACTGATTCGGCAAGCAGCAAAAGCACCTACAGAAACCAGTCTCCGCATTAACAAACACAATGCGTGGACGATCTCCATCCGAACTCACTTCTCGCAGTATCTGCAGATCGTCAGCATTCACATCACTTTCCACGCGCTTCACGAACGCTGCCATATGGTCGGTCACAACCGTCAAGAACCCTGCTGTAACAACCACGACAGCAGAAAAAGCCAGAGACGTGAGCGCAACCAAATCACAACCAGTCGAGCCGCGTTCAGATATGATATACCAGTCCATCACCATACCGAGTCCGAGCACGCAGCGTCCATACGTGGTCGCAGCCAACGTGCGAACATACTCTCGTGCAGCCAGTGATGATGTCAGCTTCACGATCAGTAGACGCGCCGCAGCCACGTCCACAGCCAACGGCTTCGACGGCGTCGAGCAGAGCAGCACCATGTCCCCACTCAACAAGAGTGCGGCCCGAATGGGCGGTTACGCGGTGCAACGCACGTCGATGATTGGCTGTTAAGGTGACCAAAATATCCGGATAAAAACGGACGGATGTGGACCACACACACACACCCTTTCCACAAGGCGACGTGGTCAGGTTGAAGTGGTCGGTCATCATGTCATGGCTCAATGACTTGCAACGTACAGCGGGAGACCGTAGCAGATTGCAGCGTGGCCATTCAGATACTTGAGCTTGCATACGCTCCGAGAGTCTTGCAGCACCTCGGCCAGCGAGGGACGACGATGACTGAGGCCATCTCTGTCTTCGCTGTTTGCCAGGAGCCAGTCCTGCAAAATCTTGACACTCAGCTTGTCAATGTCGCGGTCAGTGACGTCCCAGAGCATGGCCAGCACTGCAGGGCTTCCAGCACGCAAATAGGCTAGCACAGCACCGTGTGGACCGAAAATGCCCTCACGCTCGAGACGTCCACTGCTGCAGCCGAAGAGCAGTGCAGCGCTGCAATCAGGCTGTAAACCGAGGACCTTGTCGCGAGGCAAGTACGCTTCACCCGAGCCGTGGCCGCAATAAATGAAAAGGTCGGAAGCTGCCAAGGTATTTCTGCGGTAAATGGACCATCAACACGAAGGAAAAAGCAAACTGAGATCAAGGCCGACACGAACGTTGCACAACTAACATACCTCAGTTCGTCGGGATCCGGGACTTCCCCAACTGTGCCTCCCCAGCCGTAAGCCGTCGTACCCTCTGCCAGTATCGGACCCAGCTGATGCTGTGTTGATCGGAGATCTCCGGCAGGATTCAGCAAGAACTGCACACGATCGCGTCGGACAAATCGCGAGCACTTGGCGTTCTGTACAATCAAGTCGAGTGAAGGCATGCGAGTGACGCCGCTACTAAGGCCCATCACATCCATTCCTTCCCATGGAAACTGCTGTAGCTCGTGGTGCAAGATCAAAATGGCACAGAAACGGTTGGCAGAAGGTTTCGTGGGCAGCCGGTGATCGCTTGAAAAGGCAGCAGCGCGGACTGCATTAAGTCGTTCGATCATTGCCTTCTTCGATCCGTCGGTGCTGAGGCCTTCTGCAGCAAGAAGCTGTCTCATCTCGCCGACTTTCATCCTGGCCAGTCTCCCTGTACTCAGCTTAGCCGAATTCGAGAGAGTCGCTGTTGACAAGCTTGACCTTGTATCGTTTTGCTCCGACCGCAATACGCTCAAAGCCTCATGCGCTGTCGAATCGGATATGGGCGCCCCCATTTCTGCTGCAATGTGCTTCAGTCCATCAATTACTTCGCGGTCTGATAAGCACTGCAGCGAATTAGCGATAGCGCACAACAGAGTCTGGTTCCTTTCCGCCAGTCGGACAGAGCCTTGTTTCCTCGCGACTAGAAGATCCCAGCAACGTTCGATTCTTTCGGGAGTACTGGGTCCCCCTACAAGTAAGCATCGCCAGAAACCCAGCGTTTCCTGCCTCAAATAGTCAATAACGTATCTTTCAATGTACAGCTTTTGCACTTTGTGCGTACCTGCATGGACACCAATGCGTTGTCGATGCGCTTGTCGAGCAGTTCGCGAGCCCGCCACCAATTTTCCTTTTGTTTCGTGTTCCAGGAGCTCGCTTCTTCGGCCGTATGTCCTGACAAAACCTCTCTTAAAACCGCAGCGAATGCTCGTCAGACCGGAATCAGTGTAACGTGACCTGTGTCGTAATAACAAACCTTGAGTCTTGTATGATCGCATCCACCTCGCGAATGAACGTTACCCAGACAACTCCGGGCAAGCGAAAGGAGACTGGAGTATGTCCATTTGTCTGTTGAGTCATGAGGTTAGATTGCATCACTTCAAATCACTTGTTCCACAAGTACGTACCGGTAGACGCGTGATCATGAGCTCGTGTGATAAGCTTATCGTCACGGACACGATAATCCAATTGTCCGGCAGCTGCTCAACCTGCTTATTAATGCTTTTGGCCATGTTCGTCAGGTATTTGTGCGACTTCAGCTCGTGCCTTGCAGCTGAACTTGTAGCCAGATGCTCAAGCTGCACCATTAAAGAGTCCCGTGATGAAGCATCGTTACCAAGCTCAACAGAAGATGCCTCTTTTACAGCAACCATACCAGTGCTGCCAGCATTCGCCAACAACGCGCAACTCATCCATGAGATAAACCGCACGCGATTGTTGTCGGCTACAGAATCATCTTTGCTGCCAGTGTTGTCCTCAATCTCAGCAAAATACGTCATTCCCAATGCTGTCCGTAATTCTTGATTGAGATGGGCAATACACAGACGGTCTCCGAGCAAGTACGCTTCTTCCAAAAAGGCAATAGTTTGACTGAGGCTAGTAAACGCACGATGTGAGGCCGAGCGCAACAGCCTTAGGTTAATCCGTCCTAGTTCAAGTAAACACTTCACTCGTTCCAGATGTGTATCGCAGGCTTCGATCGACTGCTTCAGTCGTTTCATCGAAATCAGCAATGCTTCAATTGCTGCAGAGTCCGAAAAATCGCAGATTTGGCTTTGCAGTCGTGTATACTTGCGCCAACACCGGACTTTCGCTCTACTTAGTCTCTTCGAATCGATATGCTCTTGATTCCCAACAGTGTCCAAAGCCTCAATTGCCCGTACGAAGCAAGCCAATGCTTGCGGGTAATCTCCTTCATTTTGGTATACATCTCCCCACTGAACAATCTCCATGCATCTTTGCTCGAGAAACGCCAAATCTGATTCAATGTATGAGTGATGCCAGGACGCCATGGCGCAGTCAGCGCGATCCCCTTCAACCCCGTATGCTTCCCTCTTTTGACGACACGAAAGTAAAGATATAGCTACTTTTGCCGTTTCCAAGTGGCTTGCATTGAGCTCCAGTTCAGCGTACTCATAAAAAGGGCTCCGACGGAAGAAACCCAAGTTTAGCCCGCTTACAAGACGCATCGCCTCCGTAAGATACACAGTAGCCCTACAACACAGCAAAATAAATGAGCATATACATTAGCACACAACAATCAAATTGCATCAAATTACCTGCGCGGTTGATCACACAAGGCGTAGAGAGATGCTATTCGACACAATATCATCTTGGCGGCAAGTAGCACGTCCCATGACGAACTTTCGAGAGCCATGAAGTTCAGCAGGTAACCTGATTTACGCTGCTGACTCTTCACGGGGGTAAGCTCTGATGGCAACTCAAACCCGGCAGGACATTCAGTAGACGAGGAAAGAGCGGTACACTTTTTTGCCATTTTCCAACAGATACGCAGCGCAGCTTTAGCCTCTGCGATGGCGCATTTACTGCGCCCTTCGTGAAAGTATAAATCCGACAGTATCACGTGAGCAACATACTCCCGCATCCTGACTGCCTTCGCAAACAGTGCCGTTTGGTATTGCCTCTGACTCGGTTTAATATCACCGAGCGTAGCCATCGCGTCATGCAAGTGCTGACACGTCTGGCCTTTATTATCATCAGCACGGGAAATCTCAGCAGCAAGCAGCGCTTTGTCGACAAGCTCAAACAACCTCAACTCGCTGTTGATGCCTACATCCTCCAATGCAGCAACATCTGACTCCAGAACTGATCGATTGACTGAACCAGCAGAGCCAAGTAACCATGGTACTGGTGTTATTATATCGCCAGCCAAACATTGAAGCGTCTTGAGTAGCTTTCGAGCGACTTCTTCCAGCGGTGAGCACGAAGTTATAGACAGTGTGTTGCATATGGACTGCAAGCAACATATCATGTAAGGCGCATCAAACAGGATCCCAGAAGTGTATCGTCCATCCCAGTACTTCAAGCATTGTTCGATGTCGGCAATCGCGCCATTTTCAGAAATGATAATATTCTCACGAGTGACGTCATTTGCTGACAAGCCTGCATAGCTAGCGATCACGGTAATCTCCATAGCAATCACACCACGCCATCCGTAAACTCCCCCAATATCAACCGAGGGGGCTCCAGCCACAAACTGAAGTTTCTTTACAGCAACGGTAAGGGAGTGATGGACGAGCAGAAGGGCCTCCACCGCAGCATTGAAGTCACGTTTGATGTAACAACTGCAGTAAACGTATTTGCGTCTTGCCAGACACTGGGAGACGTCCAGCAAAATATCGTGAAACGACTCCCCTTCTGTCACCTTCAGCCTAAGTTTCATAAACTGATCGTCCAAACAACTCTGAAGCATACCACACAAACGCACACGCGATTCGGCTGATACACCATCTGAGCGCGCAATCTCGACGCAATCCTCGGCTAGTGCGCTATCCATAGTTTTAGCAGACGCGCATTCAAAGGCATGTCGAAATGCGATCCACAGGAGCACAATCCGGTCGTCGGATATGTAGCGAGACTTGAAAACGCGAGCGATGGTGTTCAAAAAGGCTTTAAACGCGCTCACAATGAACTCTATTGCGCCATCGACCGACTTTTTAAGCTCATCGAGAACGCATAATACGTACTTGCTGACACTTGCTTGCGGAATTTTCTGATGGATGTCTGCACAGTACATAAGAGAATACTCCGCAAATTGCCGTGATCGCACCACATCTCCTTGTTCGCGATAGCAATGTGCCAGCAATGAAGCGATATCGTCAAGTTTCAGTTGAGCGTGTGCCGTGTGCATTTCATCAGCGGTGGTGCTATTACGCATCAAGCACTGCACGTATTTTTCTGCAAGCTGGAACACTTCTGTCAGCAATGAAATCGTTTCTTGGTAGTTCCCTGTTTTGTAGTATTGTGTAGCAAAACTATAACAGTCACGAGCGACTGATTTCAGATCACCAAGAACTCGCTGCAGAATCAATTCGCCTGGTTTTGTACCCATCATTGCGTTGTGCAAAAGCTCACGGATCAGATCCACATGGCAAGAGATTGCGTGCAGAGCAGACTCACTTGGAGTCGAGCTACGTGCGTCTGCAACACAGCACCGCACTATTAGTACTACAGCCATTCGGTGAAGTCGTAATTCTTCCACAATCAGCGCTTCGATGACGCCTGAATCGGTTTCATCAAATGTTTCGCGTAGTTCCTTTATAACCTTACACATGACACCAAAACTGCAATCGGTTAGGTCAGATGAACACAATCGCGCGTCCCACGAGTACAGACATCTGAGTGCTCACCTTGTCACAACTTGGTGGCGTAGCTGGTCGCTTGTCGAATGTTGAGCACTGATACCATAATTGTACATCGATATTGAGCTCCTCTTCAGACAGCGCATGACAAACGGCGCATACACAGAGAAGCATGGCAACCTTAACGATTCGAAACTGGAAGCCACAAACACTTCGAACTTGCCCAGGTATGCACTTGACGCCTTTTCATACCGGGCGACTAACTTGTCGGATGAAGTGCTGTGAACAAGCTCACGTATGGTTCTATCAGCTTCAGATCCTAACCTCTTGTCAAAAGTAGCTCTGCTCGACCCAGCTTCCGACTGGATGTCATCGTCTCGTTTCTCATCACCAGACGCACGCAAGAGAGCGCCCGCAATGGAAAATAAGAGGCACGACTGAATCGCCTCCGTGTTACCATACATACGTGCATAATTAACCGCGGCTTCCAAGATAGTCGCGCTTTTCAAATGCATTCCAAGCGACTCGCAAATAGAAGCGAAGTGTTCGAGCCACTGGATATATTCCCATTCGAAAGACTCAGACTGCAAAGTTTCGCCATAGAGCCCAAACAAGTTGCAACTTCTTAGTCTGTGAGTGCAGCACAATCGGTCCCCACCGTAATCGTTCGGAACGTACTTTGTAGCTCTGCGATGAGTTAGGACACGTTCGGAGCAGAGCGTTCTCCGACCGATCATAGAATGCACATACGTCCTCGAGCCCCTGATGCGATCGTTTGGACGATCGCTCATGCTGGACACCAACACGGAAAACCTAATCCCAAAATCCGTGAGTTTATCTTTGGCCTTGTCATTGCCACCTCTACGTCAGTACAAGCACTGCCACGAACTCACCTGCTGTATAAAGTACAGTGACAAGTAGTTTGAGCATCTGAGTACGAATGTCAATGCCGTCGAACGAAACAGAAGCGCGGCGCTGTTTGCCTTGGACGCGTTTTGATCCCCACTATCTACAGCTGCGGCACACTTCCACAAAAGCCGGAACGTCCGGTCACTAAAAGACGAAGCCAGCTTCGAGTTTTGGTCAGAAAGAGCTCGCACGTAGTCGATCCATGGAGATAGTGTGGTTTCTGCAACGAGCCGCACGGCCTACAGCATAGCAATGTAGCACAATCAGCTTCAGAGCCGAGCAATAAAGATATCCAGAGCCACCGTACCCCGTAGTTTTCGGCAGCAGCCAATAGCGTTACGCACAAGCTAGTATGCCCAAGAAGCAATCTGGCGTAATGTACTGTGTGGAAGCTCGTGGGTCTTGGAAACTCCGCCACAAGTGCCAACTTCTTTGCGACTACAGCCGCAAAGTCGATTTTGACCTCATCTCGCAGGTGCGCTATCAAATTTGACGTTGCTGCATCAATTTCACTGGATTCACCACACAGCTTTGTATGCTCGTTCCACAGACGGACATGAACACAAGTGGCTATACAACTTGCCACTTTCCGCATCTAGCCGCAAAAAAAGGCATCAGTAACCTGCAACGAAACCACTACACAATCTTCAAGCATCTTCACGTATTCCACTACTTACGTTTGGTATTTCAGCATACTTTTTGGCCACTTGGTAGAGCAGATTTTCCACCACGAGGTCCCCTAGACGCACTACATGCGCCAAAGCACACACCACATAAAGCGCCACACACGCTAAATCCAGTGCCGCCACTAGATCGTCCTTGTCTACAGCATAAACATCCATACAACTTCGTTGAGATATCTTCAATGACAGCAGTGTACGAAAAAGGTGCCGTGTACCGACCTTCCGCCGTGGCTGTACCCACATCCATGGCCGCGTACACCTTCACAACGCTCTGTACCAATTGCGCAGCAAAAACGACTTCCTTTCGCCTGCCTTCACTCGTCCGTTGACGCTTACGCTCTCGCTCGCCAGTCTGCCCTTGCGTCAACCACGCCGGTTGACGACGTTCGATAGCTGCATTGAGTGCTGCCAACACTACCGAAGTCTCCTTGCTATGAGCTTTGACGTTGTGCGTTAGGGCTGCAGCTTGAGCAGTGAAACACGCGAGCGTCTTTGTTGCTGTTCCGCGCCGCTGTACGAGCGTCAGCTGCTCGAGCTTGGCGCCATGCATGTTTGGAATAAACTGTCCACATACTTAGTAGTCATTCTTGCGGAAGAGTGACCCACCCGCTCGATCAAGTGAGCACTATAATTATACGTATACATGAGCGCTCGCGTACTGCGTCGAGCCTCGTGGATCACCGGACGAGAGCGATGGTGGTCCACTGCAGCCACCTCAGCCCGTGTCTTGACCGCACTATCCACAGAAGCGAAACAGTCTTGGCCTCAGCGCAAGTGCGCTATCTATCGCCTCGGACGCGTCGAGTATGAGACTGCGTGGGCCTGGCAGAAGCAGCTCATCCAGCAGCGCGTCGTGGCCATGCGTGCTGGACAGTCGGTCGACAAGGACGTGGTGCTTGTGGTGGAGCATCCGAGTGTATACACTATCGGCCGAAGTGGTTCGATGGACAACATCAAGTTCGACCTGGAGAAGGAGCACGTCAAGTTGGTACGCGTCGATCGCGGCGGTGAAGTGACGTACCACGGACCTGGTCAGGTCGTAGTATACCCAATCTTGGACTTGACTCATCACAAGAAGGATCTGCATTGGTACCTCCGTCAAGTCGAGGAGGTGGTGATTCGTACGCTGGCCAAGTTTGACATCCAGGGAGAACGTGTTGATGGACTTACGGGCGTCTGGGTGGAGAAAAAGCTGGACTCTGGTGACGAGAGACGAGCTGATGGGCTCCGTGAGCGAGCAATGTGCAAGATCTGTGCAGTCGGTACGCATGCAAGTCGCTGGATAACGATGCACGGCTTTGCACTGAATGTCAAGACGGACCTGCGCGGATTTGACCGAATCATTCCTTGTGGTATCGGTGACCGTGCCGTGACAAGTATCGAGCACATTCGTCCGGACGTGACGATTGAAGATGTACAAGGTGCTGCTATTGAAGCCATCGGCGAGGTTTTCCATCTTGACATGGAAGACGTCGACGCCAAGTCGCCACTATAGAGTGTTTCTTACGAGGTGACAAGAGACGTGTGGCTGATCTGTTCAAGCACACAGGCGACGATGCTGTCGACTGTTGCAAGACCACCATTTCCTACGCCCATGACAAGATGAGATGAGGAAAGGCTTTGCACGGAAAAGCCACGTAATATACACGACAATGACTACGTCCGTACCAATTACGCCGCAGGCCAATTTCTTTTCCACAGGCGGCACCATCTTGTAGCCAAACTCATCCAGCACTCGAAGCTGTTTTGCTGTGATGGGATGATTCCACATGTCCGCATTCATCGCAGGTGCGTATACAAAGGGTTTGGTCATGTTCCAAGCACGCGCGACGCACGTCTGACAAAAGAAGCGATACACCGTCATCGCACATACCGTCACCGTACACACCGTCATTACCATTACTACTTGCTAATCCCTTTCCTCACCTACTAGAACAACGTACTAAGAGATTGTCCGCCAAGCCATTTGCAAGCTTTCCGAGTGTATTCGCTGACAACGGCGCCAGCAACATCACGTCGGCCCAGTCTTTCAACTGCAGCGCTCGGAACCACACACACACACACTTCGAAGGTGAGTGTACACGCACAAACAAGCCACCCCACGCCAATTCCACTTGTACTCTCAACGTAGATACCTCAATGTGGCGTACACTGTCCCCCACAACCTGCCACGTTCGCCACTCGTCCGCATCGCGAACGATTTCAATGAGACCATCATTACTACCTGTCAAGTCTGTTTCAGCAATGAACTCGTTCCAAGCCGTCACGTTGTAGTCATTGGCACGTTGCAGGAAGAACTCGGCCGACTGGGTAAGCACCAGACACACCTGCATGTCTCGTAGATCTCGTCAACAAGAGAAACAAACCACTCGTTGCTGTGCTATAAACACATATCCCACCTCACAAGTCTCTGCCAGACGTACAGCAATCTCCGGCACCTTCACAGTCGCCACGCTGCCACTGGCGCACAGCAGCACGCGCGGCTTGGGGCTTGTCATTATCGTCTTGAGTGGCACTAAAGTGGGGATTGCGAAATGCGCGAGTGAGGATCGTTTTTGTCCAATCACTTGACGGTCATTTCGTTTGTGCTGGTTGAATGGAGAGACTGGTGGAGGAACTGGAGCGATGGGGACAGCAGCCAACGCCGCTAGCCGACCAAGTTACGACGCGGTCGCCGTCTCTGATAACGAACGTGACACTTCATGAGTATCAACTGCACGGGCTGAAATGGCTGTTACGCAAACACGAGCAAAGGTTGAGCTCCATCTTGGGGGACGAGATGGGGCTGGGCAAAACGCTGCAAGTCATTGCGTTTCTTGCAGCGCTCGTAGGTGCTGGTGGTGAAGGGAGACGCGGTGAAGATGGACGGTATCTTGTTATTGCACCGCTGAGCGTGTTGCCCACTTGGATGGATCAATTCGAGCAGTACGCACCGAGTATTTCAACCGCCATGTTCATTGGTTCAAAGAAAGATCGAGAGGCCGTGCAGGCGTTTATTGCGGGTAGTTCACAGGACATACCGCTGGTGATAGTGACGTCGTACGAGATGTTGCTGTATGAACACGAGTTCTTGCATAAGACTGTGTGGAAGGTGATGATCATGGATGAAGGGCATCGTCTAAAGAACCCGAAAGGACAGCTTCATGGTATCGTTTCGACTCGACTGCGATCCGAGTATCGAGTGATACTGACGGGGACACCTGTTCAGAATAATCTTGACGAACTCTATGCACTGCTATCGATTTTGAACCCAAGCATTTTCCGGGATCGAGAGTTGTTCAACGTCACCTTTCGAGACTACTTCTCTGTTAATGCACAACGGCTAGATGGTGATCAGCGTGCAAATCCTGATCCGGATAACAAGGCAGAGAAGTTGATGCAGAGACTGTTAACTCCGTTGTTGCTTCTGCGCACGGTCCAGGATGTCCAGGGTGCGTTTGAATTACCGCCGCTGTCAGAGATAGTTGTTCACACGCCGATGTCAGCGATGCAGCGCGCGTACTACAAAGAAGTGATCGTCAGGAACAGCGAGGCTCTGAATGGTGTTGCGAAGGCTTCTGGAGACAGGCACGTAATGTCGAGTGTGGAGGGATTCCGAAATGACTAAGTCTTGGAAAAGGCGTCTGACGCTGCTCTGTATATGCACATGTAGGGTTCCGCTGCTGAATATCTTACCTCAATTACGGAAAGCTTGCAACCACCCATACTTGTTTCCTGGAGCAGAACCTGAGCCATTTCAAGAGGGAAGCCATCTGTATGAGAACAGCGGCAAGCTCTTTGTTCTTCATCAGATCTTGCCGCGACTGAAACACGATGGTCATCGAGTGCTGCTATTCAGCCAGTCTCCACCTTTTTTGGACATCATTCAGGACTATCTCACACTTGAAAGCTTTGCGTACGAACGAATTGACGGGTCTGTGCGCGGCAAGGAACGTTGGCAATGCATCAAGCGGTTTCAGAAAGACCCCGAAACGTTCGTGTTTCTCATCTCGACGCGAGCTGGAGGTCTAGGGCTAAATCTACAAAGCGCGGATACAGTCATTTTCGTGGACTCGGACTACAATCCACAAACGGATCTTCAGGCGGTTGCACGAGCCTACCGGCTGGGTCAGACCAAGCCCATTCACGTGATTAAGTTTGTGTGTGCAAACACTGTTGAAGAAAGCATATACCGACGTGCTCTTAGGAAAATGCGCGTGGCCGATCGTATCCGAAATCTTGCCCGCCGAACGCATTGTGAGCAAGAAGTCGACGATGATGGCGCCACAAGCTTACTGGATATGATCCAGTTTGGGCTGTATCGACTTATGGAAGAGACTGTCAGTGAGAAAGAAGATGCGCTCATAACGCCTCTCGACGAGGATTACATTCGGCATATCTTGTCCCGAAAAAGTGCTTGTCCAAGTGAAGGCACTGCGGCTTCACTTGACGACGAAGTACAGTGTGACAAGTTGCTTGAATCGGGTGGAGATTTTCAGGAGGGAAATATGTACTACTTTGAGGGCGAGGATTACACAAAAGTCATGAGTTGCAAGACACGTGATGCAGAGTTGCTTCAGAAATGGTGCACTGAGGCAGCAAGTTACACGAAGCGACAAACGAAAACGGCCCAGAAGAAGAGATGCGAGCAAGATAAGGTGAACAAAGGTGGAGATGGTGAAGAAGATGAAGAACGGTCGATTGAGAATGAAGCAGAACGAGCTCGACAACGTCAAGAACAGCGCCAACAAGCGCTGGAAAAAAAACTTGCACAGTGGAAGGCCAACAAGTATACGTCAGCTGTTATCGATATTGACACAGAACAACATTCATCGCGTGCCTCTGATGCATTCACTATCGGTCGGCTATACTACAAGTCTGGAGACGCCAGCCAGCCACCTCTGAGCTCACTCCGTGGAAGGCCATATGTTGTTGTCCATTGCGTGGATAATAGCGGCGTCTGGTGCTCGCGTGGTTTCTTTCGCGCTTTGTCGCTCCTTTCACCTGTCGTTCAAAAGCAGTATGAAGCGGCTGGGCGCAACAATGATCTGAAGCTTGGTAGTGCCCACTTGATTCCGCTGCCATCACACGATGCCACCGACAGTCCAGCGTTCGTCGTCCAGTATGTGTGCTTACTAGTTGTGCATGCATGTGTCGGCAGAAAAAAGCAGCGCCTGGCGAAAGGGCTTCGTACCGTGCAGCTTGCTCGTCACGGCAAATCTTCGACCTTCCGCCTGCATGCGCTAGAGACGGCACTGCGGGCACTCGCACATCGTTGTCTTGAGTTGGGTGCTACGGTGCATTTACCCCGTATTGGCTACGGCACTCCGAACTTCAATTGGTACACTGTTGAGCGTCTGCTAGTCCGCAATCTTCGAGATGTGGACGTGGAAGCTACCATTTACTACTATTCTGCAAGGTAGGTGAGGGATTCGTTGAAGTACCAACGACCTCCAAGCTTGGCGTGTTCAGCAGCGCAAGCCTAACTTCCACTCGTACCAGCCGCAGACAACAGTACGTCCTCGCAACAACGTCTCGATAGCAGTGCAGCCATCAACCACGAGGCGTTGTGACCAGCGGTAAATCTGCTATTGAAGCAGCTCGCGCTCATTCCTGCGTCACAGAGCCGTGAGACTGATACTGTCTCAAGGACGATTACTTCCTCTTGCGTATAGACATGCTAAAAACGGGAATCGACGTGTCAGTCGTCGTACGAAGCTCCATCTGTTCTGCGCAACGCGGAGCTCCTCCTGACCGCCGGTCAGACTTGGTCGTGTGTTTACTGGCATTGCTTGTCCATCTTGTTGTTCTTATCTCAGTACGTTGAGATGTTTTGCATAACCAAAAGTGTCGACTTGCAGTGCAAATAGCTTTTTGCTTGAGATTCGACCACGTATTTCTAAAAAGGTTAACGCTACAATTACGCGTACGAGCAACGTACATTCAGAAGAAGCTTTTATTTTGGGCCACATTTTGTTTCGATGTCAATGTCGACAGATTCCACGCTGTAATTGCGCTCAATTAACACTGCGACGAACCGAGAATTGATCAGTACATCAACTTTTGTTATCTACTATTGTAATTTTTGCAAGCCCGAAGGGTGAAGCTATCAGTGAGTGTGCGCACGGTTGAATGCCGATTTTGTAAATCGTACTTATCGGTCCTTTTTTGTGTCTGTCAAATAACGCATTTAGGTGCACCTTGCACGTACAAGTCACTCTTTGGCTAGGTCAATATTGTGATGCACACATCTGATTGGTTTAGAATCGATCAAAGGTGAATATGATCACATGATCGAATGCGAGACGCTCAAAAGCAAAGGTCGATCGCGTTACCCAAGTATACTGTACTGTGTTAACACACAGACTACAACAGCATTACACGCATTCTTAGTGTCTGCCGTTGTACGGCCTTTTGCAACTTGATTCAGTTTATGGACTGGATTACTCATATCCAAGGGCGAGCTGCTCCCCTATCTTCAGACTGAATAATCAACCTCACACGGTCAAACCCACATGTTGACGCTCATTTTGCACACGTTTCAAAATCAACATACGGCACCACTACCCCCTCGTCTCTCCTAAGGAAAAAGAAAGCACTTCTTCATTTTCTCGTAAAAAGCAAAAACCACCGACCGACTTTTCGAATGGGTGAGCGTGGTCCCCTCGGAAGTAAAAAGCGAAAAAAGCACAGCAGATTTTTTCCCCCGTCACAGAAAACCCAATGGAAAGTATCCCGCAGCTACCACCCGGCACCACCTTCGTCATTGCAGATGACCCGGCGTTGCCGCCAGCTGTGTCCGAGCGACCGGCCAAGAAGTACCGCAACGCCGGTCGCAAGCGGGACCCAGTGTGGGACTTTACGACCGTGTTCCCGGACAAGCGCGTGGTGTGCAACCGCTGCCACGCTCTCATCCACCGCTACGGCGTGGCCAAAGTGGAGCGCGTGCGCAACCACTTTGAGCGCAAATGTACCGGCACACAGGAGCAAGTCAAGACGCTACGGGACAGAGAAGAGACAGCAGCGGTACGGGAGGTGACGCTGAGCTCCAAGCAGCCCAAGGTCACGCTCAGTGGCAGCAGCTACGGGAACAAGAGCGGCGCTTTCAAGCGCAAGTTTGCGTACTGGTTGTACGCAACGGGCCAATGCTTTGACGACATGGAAAACCAGCTCTTGTTGAGCGCTCTACGAGTGCTTCGCACTGACGTGACGCTTCCAACGAAGCACGAGCTCGAGAACGAGCTGCTGGATCTGGAGTTTACGGCGTCGAAGACCAAAGTGACCAAAGCTTTGAGTGGCAAGAAATGCTGCCTCACCATTGAGCATCGGGTGGATGCAGGCGGAGCATCTGTGACCACGTATGGGGCAATCTGCGAGGCTGCATCGTACTACCTCGAGTCAAAAACTGACGACAGTCAGGAGAGTCGGGGAGAGTTGACGGCAGGTGAAGTGGAAGCAGTGATGGCCAAAGAAAAGAAGGCCGAGTTTTACGGCATTGTCACACCAGCTATCACGACACTGTCCGCATGCACTCGTGAGAGAGTCCAGAAGAAATACCCACGGTGTACGTTCTTTCACGGCTGTGTAAGCAGCGCACTCACGTTGCTACTCAGCGATATCAAAAGCGTGCTGCCGTGGCTGAAAACGGTTCAAACGGCGGTTGCCGAGCTGGCACAGGTGTTTCATGGAAACCAGAAGCTGCAGATGCTCGTGTCATGCTCCGAAAACAGCCAAACTATGGAGTTCCCGGACTCCAGCTCCATGTGCGCTTTGCTGGAGGCTTTACTGAAGCACGAGAAGGTGCTGTACGCCATCGTCGCACGTCGAGACTTTGCAGACACTAGTGTTTCGGGCGAGCAAGAGAAATGTAAGCGCGTGCAGGACTTTGTCTTGAGCGAAACATTCGTTCAGGACCTGATGAACTCCCTGGCTGTCCTTCGTCCGCTGCAAGAGCAACTGCGACATTTCATAAATGATCTGCCTCCATTGTCACAAGTGTTTCCGTGCTTTGTCGAGCTTCTGACAGTGTACTCGGCAATAGCGTGGGTGAGCAAGAAGGAGAAGGCACTCATCACCTCTTGCGTGACTGAGCGCTTTAACGCTATATACGGTGATTCTCACGGCGTGGCGTACATGCTGGATCCACTTTACTTGGGTCAATTCTTAGATGAACAGAAGAAGCGGAATGTGGAGAGCTTTATTGTTCGGTTCTGCGAAAATGAGGGACATGCTGTGGACATTTTGACACAGCTAGCGAAGTACAAGGCGATGGTATGTGAACTGAAAGAGAACAACCAAGCGTACTGGCAGCTGCTACAGTCCGGTGCCCTTTCACCCCATGACTTTTGGATGGAACGCCGGGTGCAGTTTCCGTACTTGCACCAGCTGGCTGTAGCGGTATTTGCGTTGCCAGCATCAACCACATCTCGGTCTTCCTCATTTGGTGAAAAGGGCTTCATGGTCCATTCGCGATATCATCGCAAGTTGTCACCAGACCAACTTCAAAAGCTTGCCCATGTATATTGCAACTCAGAAAGGGGTGAAAGTGAGCCGTTGACGATGGGTGCGTAGAGAATGTAGCGTCGACAGACCAGATATAATATCATTGCGGCTTCCGCACACAGCTGGATTTGTCCTGCACGTGGTCACAATCCCATTTTCGCGTCGCGAACAACAGCCTTCGCAAACAACTCAACTTGACTCAGGCACACGTCTTATCCCATCTCCTGCATATATTCTCTTGGTCTCTTCATGACGTAATGGCGATGAAAGTCTGGCAAGTGTTCAGACTCGCAGTTTGCAGGAGGGATATCGAGAGCATTCAGGTCAAACTCAAAGGCGCGTTCTCGTTCTTTGTGAAGCGAAATCGTGTCTTCTAGCTTGGCACAGTCTTCCTCCAGCTTCTTGATGTTACCCTCAATCTGAGAAGGCGAGGTAGTCCCCGACTGATCAGGTTGAGCGTCGGCAGTGCAGCTGGTCATCGTCTTAGCAGCTACCAGTTTATCGCTTGTCACCTTGAGCTTTAGTTCATTCTGAAATATATCGTGCATCGCTTGGCGCAAGCCAACACGGTTTTTAAACTCGCAGTCCGTGTTCCGACAGCGCACGAAGTGAGAGTCGATATCACGCCAAATGCAGCATGCCTTATCATGACACACGCCTGCACCACCCCGTCGTCTGCGATGAACCTGACACATCCCAGCGCGAATACTTGCACACTTCTGCGCACACTTCATTCCCGGAGGCGGACAGCAATTTCCTGCATCGACCAGCTCTACAGCCGTCTTCAAGCGCTTTACAAACGCAGAACTTCGCTCCAATGGACCAGCACCAGCGCAAGGCCACGCGAGTCCGTCATCACCACTCCTTCCACTTTGCACGAAGATATCGCCCATTTGCTGACCAGATCGTAAGTTCTCAGGAAGTTCGCTCAGCACCTCTATCTCCTGCTCTGGTTCAGTCTCGTCTTCCTTTGTGCTTTCTACCAGCTCCCTGTCACCAAGCCCGTCCTTCTCCTCGCAGTCTAGCTTTCCTGCACTGTACAAGTTTCGCGCGACGATGTAGTGCGGTCGTTTCAATCCTCGGCGCGGGATCAGCCTACGAGTCTTTGGATGCCTTCTGCCTCCTCTTTCTACCAACGAAGAGGTCGATACTGATGAATCCACGTGTGGGGAGCACGTCGTTCTCAATCCAGCAGCAGTGGCATTGGCACCCAAAAGCGGAGTCACAGCCACTGCATTGTTCCCAGCCACGGGTGTCTCAGGCGTTGATCTCCGATGAAATGGAGAGCTTGACCCTACTGGAACTTGAGCGTCAGCCTCGACTTTATATCGGAGCCACAGCTCTTCCGTCCCCGTGGACCTGAACGTCGTCCATCCGCTGGTGCTCGCGTAACTTGCTCGAATCACTTGCTCCATCTGCTGCACAAAGTATCGCGAGGTTTCCATGTGTGTCACTATAAAAGCGACCAGTTGGCGACAGCATTTCTCGTAGATGGTCCAGTCGAACGCGCCACCGTCTTCGAAGTCCTGCTCAAAGTCCGCCAATAGTCGCGCAGTCTCTGCCATACTCGTACGTAGTCGATCGGCGACTGAAGACAGTGAAGGGTGGTCTTGGATGGTGCCAGTCGTGCATCCGTCGCCATCACTGACACGTGATGTCGACGCACTTGTCACCCGCATTGGGTTTGACTACCGCTGTGTTTTTTACTTGCGAACTTTTGACGTGTGGGTGGCAGTCCGATGTATATTACTACAAAGGGGTGAAAGGTAACTTTTAGGTTCTCAAATACTTCGACATCCGTCACAAAATCACAGGACAGTGTGAGATATGACAAACATGACCGCACTGCTGTACGATTACAGTTTTGTCGAGATTGAGGCAACTTGGCTTCATTACGAAATGTTCCTTGTCAATGATCGCCAATTCCGCAGAAAGTTGTCATGTGATATGACTATTTTCTTGTCGAGCAAAACTCGATGCATTCTTCCCAAGGCGAGTCGACTCAGGCGTCCCGATGAGAGCCGAGTTCAGGTAGTACCGTTGCAATTGCAATAGTTACTGTCTCTTCGGCGGTAATCAACTGTGCTCTTGGTTGACACTTCCCACCACTGCTACCTACATATTCGCGCTTGGGTTTACTCGCGTGATGCACCGCTACAAAACTCCATACGTTTGTCGCTCTCGACTTCGTATTCAACTCGTCTAGCGTAGGCGTGCTACTTATCCAATCCATTGCCGTACAAATCGTCGCCGAAATTATCTGTCCCAGTCACTTGGAAACACCTGCACGGGTCGGACTCGCGTCAGCAGAGACTCCTGACCCCCACGTCGACGACAATCAAGCGTCCGAACAGCTGCACTTTCTTTTCGTTATACAGGCCAAAAGATGGCACTACGTCAACCTCTTACAACTATTCTTTTCGTGACCTCGCGCATGTCGGTAGAGACCAGAATGCGGCGGATTCTTGAAGCAAAGTCGTCATCACGCCGGATGCGACACGTCATTTCGAGCACGGTACATTGCTCTTGCACGCCGAGACACGCACTGACTACAATTCGCGCACTCAAGTTTTCCATATGGTGGATAGTCCACCAAAGCGGCAGTAGAAAGGTCGATGGACTCGTGCAACAGCGACTCTGATCACTTTGGGCTGTGTCGCCCCTTTGTACAATTCACGATGTTGGACTCACTTACTGCCTCAGCACATTTATGTACAAAACACGAATGTAACGTCGACGTTGTGTTTCGTACACAACTATTTCAAGAACACAGCGGACGTATCCGGTATGCGGCGCGGCGTCGGGGCAAAAGGTTCGTGTGGGTAGTGCACCTCGTCCTTGTTTATGTCCCTTGTTAATGATATTGCTATTCACCTTTCTATCTCTAGACGTCCAGTTCTTCTCGAATGCTCAAGTACCGACAGGTGGCACTGGCCATGGTCGTAATGGCGGTCTTTTCTCCTCTTCCTCGTCTTCTGCTGGAGATTCTGACGCCTCTGATGGTGAAAATACAAGTGAAAGAAGAGTTGGGGCCGTGCCGCCGCTACTAGGAGCTACGGCACGAAGTCATTCAGCAACTTTGCTCTCCAAATCGCACTCGGGGGCAGATTTTAGACGACGCGCCATGGTCTCGATTTCTTCCACTATGCTGAGCTCTTCTATCGGTCCAGGGGAGAGTGTAGGCCATGCAGGGGAAAGGAGAGGTCTTTTTGAACAGGACGACGATATTGGGGACTCGCTGGAGACATTCCATGAACGAGCAAAGCTTCGTCAGAGCAAGAAACTGTCCGAGTTGAAGGCATTACGAGTGCAGCTAGAGACGGCACTGCAACGAGTAAATGATTTGGAGATTCGGCTCGTTGAGACTACTAAGGAAAAGGAGGAGTTTGCTATTCGTACGAAGGAGTGTCAACGCATCATCGAGAAACGAAACAAGCAACTAATGAAGGCAAGTGAGAAGATGGCACGGCGTTCAGAGCAGTATGAATTGCAGGTGGATGGGATACAGAACGAACTAGAAGCTGCAACTGCGCAGTGTGACCGACTACGAGCTGACGCTGCTACGATGAAGGAGAATGGCAAGAGAGAGTTGGAAATGAGGGAACAAGCGCTGCAAGAAGAGATGGACGTGCAGAATAAACAGCACGAAAAGCTCTTGCGTACAGCAGAGGTACGATATCACGAGCAAAAAGCTGAGAATGTGATGCTTGCGAAGAAACTGCACGAAATAGAGCAACAGCTGACGACTATAGTTGCCCAAAAGCCAACACCGGCACAGGTGATGGAGAGTGACGAATATCGAAACCTACTTAAGCGATGCGAGGATGCTGAGGCAATTGGCCGTGGACTTGGATTTCAGCTGGAGAAGGAGGTGCAGGAAAAAAAGTACCTTCGAACGCAGTTAGCAGCATTTCAGAAATCTAAAAGCGCCAAGCCTGCGCTCGTAACAGCGAAGTCATTTGGATGTGCTCCCGATGCAACATCGTTGGAGCTGGGCGACGATGCTGGTACGGCAAACAAAGCCGTGGCGGCGAGTGCTGACGTAGCACCTGTGATGAGTTTTGACGTTACTGCAGACACCAGATCGTCTCCTACCAGCCCTGCGACAACAGCAAAGGTGACCCCCGCTGTAGAAGTCTCCTGTACCAGTGTGATATCAAGCCCCAGCCAAAATCGCTCGCGAGGTCTTTCTGCATCGAGTTTCACCGACGATAGTACCAAACCATCAGTAAGGGAAGGCAAACGCCGGGCTGCTTCCGCACAATCGATAACTTTTTCAGACCCGCCAGATAAGCTGGCAGAAGATAAAGCTGCTGCTGGCAGTGGCAAGTTAATTGCCGCACCAGTGACTTTCTTTGGGAAGCTTTCATCCAGATTCAAGCGAGGATCTTCTCCACAAAATGGTCAAAATGGTCCAAATAGTTCCAACGAAGAACATGATGGGGTGACGGAGGGAGCGATAGCAGGTGAGGTTGACATTGCATCGCCACTTTTCCCACGTCAAGTTTGGGGCCAAAATAAGGTGTTGAAAGAGCGCCCTCGAATGTACGTGGCTAAGTCTCCATCTCACCACGAGGACGAGTCAAGTGATAGCATATTTGGCAGTGAGTCATCGATAAGTGACTCATCGGACGACGACATGCCACCGCCACCGCCACCTCCACCAATATCCGAGCACAAAGCTCCGTCTTTGGTGACCCCTGCACTTCATGTGGATACTACTCTACGATCGATCTCATCGGATACAAGTGTAGATGCAGGTTCAAGCAGCTCAAGTGATGACGACATCGAAAAGCAGGAGTGTCGCGAACAAGCGGACATTTCGTCTCAAATATCGGATCCGCTGGAAACGCAGGGGCTGACAAGAAATCTGGGTTCGGTACAAACACCTAGCGGCGTACCATTGCCATCTTCGTCTTCCTCGTCCCTTTCAGATGACGACTCCGATGAACGTGACATTGAGCACAGTCAGCCTTTTCAGGTGGACTTTAAGCAGGTTGGAAGCTTATCGGCATCGTTGTCGTCGTTGTCTCCTAGCTCTAGCGATGGCGATGACCATGTCGTCGAGATGGGTAAACTGAAAGCCCATCGGGAAGTCCGGAACGGCAGTCTCACTGGCCAAGATCACTACAGCAGGCGTTCATCACGCTCGCCCACTTCGTCAAAGTCTCGAGATAAGAGTCGCAGCTTGAGTGGACTTGACAATCCACATAGTTCAAGTAAAAGTCGCATGAATGAGTACATGGAGGCCCGAGCTAGAAAGCGCAACGACAAAATCAAGCTAACACAAGAAAAGGAGCACGAAGAATCGAGAAGGAAAGAAGAGTATGAAAAAGAATGGGAGCAGATGGCACAAGAGGAACGCGAGCGAAAACGCAAACAGCAGCAGGCGCGGCGCCATGGAAGACGACGGCCAATCAGTACGAAAACGGTGCGGGTTTCGCAGATGCGGCAGCAGATGAATAACAAACAGCAACAAAAGGAGCAGAAGGAGCCTCCGTGGCCCCGGCCACCTCATTCGAGCACCCCACCCCGCTCTCACGGTGACGATGGCGTGGACGTCGATGGCCGTCACTCCCAGAGCAAAAGTGAGAGCAAGACTTCGGAAAGCGAAGCAGAGGAAGAGCGTTCATCTGTCTCTTTCTCGCCATCTACAGACTCGCCACCGCTACCTCCCGAGCCTACCGCTGCTAGCACGGAGCTGTACCTTCGCCAACAAGCACGGTTGCGCGAGCGTCACGAATTGGAGATAAAGAAGAAAATCGAGGCTACTGAAGCTGATGCTGTCCGAGGCGATATACATCGGCGCGTCGAGATGTGGGCGTTTGGAAAGGAACTGCTGCACATGATTCTTACGTTGGATCAGGTTTCTTTGAACAGCGCGCTGAAGAAGTGCCAATTGATGGTCGTACAGTCTCCCGACGATGAAACCGTGCGGAAGGCCTATCGGTGCGTGCACTCTCATCTATGAAAGATGCTTGACGGTATCTCATGTTGTTTATCCCTTTGTTGCAGAAACATAATCAGGGTCATCCACCCCGACAAGTTGCGTGGTGCCACGATCCCTGAGCAACTGGAGGCCAAGGAGCTCTTCACTGTGCTCAACCAAGCTTTCGAGAACTTCAAGAACCAGACCCGCTAAGATGCCGTCGTGTATTACAGTACAGCCCGAATCTTTATAATACGCAGAAGCCTTATCGGGCATTGAGTGGATCCTACCGTGATAGAGACGTGAAGTGGTCTGCAAGGTTCGCTGACTTATGAGAACTGCAAAAGGTGCTTCAAGTGGCTCCAAGTGCCGTACAACTTGCCCGGTCGCAACCATCTTCAAGGACAAACCGGTCGTCTAAATCCGGTGCCCGGTTCGTACCGGTAGTACGCATCAAGGTACCTCAGCATTTGCCTCCTCCGCGACCATTCACCAGTGCAATCGACTCCACTCCACGAGTCCGTTATGAACCTGCTTAAGGTTAATCTCTCGTGGCGCTGAAGTCACGAGGCTTCACGTACACAAAAGACAAATTTCATCTTTGGTCACCGGTACACACGCTATGTAGAATTTCAAGCCTGGATTCTCGTACAGACTTGCTGTGTCAGTATGGTGCGCGATTGCATACAGCTTGGCGTCTTGAGAAATGTGCAAGTGCTCGCGGCAATTGCACTGAAGGTCGTGTCTATTTCGTTTGCCGGACATGCTCGATTCCGTTCTTACTTCTCAGCTTGAACATCTAAAAGTCCCGAGGTTGTCTATTTCAGATGTTGTAGTTGTTACGATTGTTTGCACGTGTTTACTGACACTCCAAGAAATGGGTGAGCAAAGTTAGTAGGTACGACCGTATCTCAATATTGAGGAAGCAAGATGCTATCACATGTCCCTTTCTCGGCATTACGTCGTAGTGTGTCCTCTGGTGTCGCGGTTTCGTGACTTGATTACTTCACATCGCTTTGCTAAAGAACGGCGGTACGATCCTACATGAGCGAATAATCGCTGCTACGCTGCACACGTCCGTAGCTGCTGCGAAAAGCCTGGGTAAGTAGAGCCCCGTATATCGCGTCGTATTCACGGCACAACATGGACTATAGTAACATCACCTAGGGCTAACACATGCAACTACAGCGGGTTGTACCTGAACGCGATCGTGTGCCGGAAGCAACGAAACTAAAGACTACAACAGCGTGAAAGGAGAAGCGGTGGGTCACAAGATCAACAAGCGAGACGCGTGTCAACGAGTGTGAAGATGAAGTTTAGAGAGTGCCGTTACACACAGATGTCGTGACTATGCGTGTCATTCTATCCACTAGTCGCCGACGAGTGGGAACATTCGGCTCAACGATGCACTCGCTTTTTGTGAGATTAGGAAAGAACAGTTGGCTTACGACTGCTTGCAGTACAGGCTCAGAAGAGTTCCGAGCAAAGTTGGCGTCTCACCGTTTTGGTCGATGCGAACCTCTCAGTAATTTGCATTGCCTTGATACTCGAACTGGCTCGCACACACACGTTGATGTTGCTCCGTATAAGAAAATGTATTCTAGATAGTGGTTTGCTTCCGCATAGCTGTTACGGGTAGCCCGTAACATGAAATTGACACCAAACGGTGTCAATAGGGATATTGTCTCGCATGACATTATTCTACCAATATTATCCGAGATGGATAATGTTCGAAGGAATATTATCCCCCTTTGGATAATATTCATGCGCTGCTCAAATTTGGTTGATAAAAGACATACCAACCAAGGTTACCACCAATCGCTGCTAGACGCGCGTAATGAGCGGTGAGCAGGTTGTCGTCATACGACGGCGTAGATTAATATAGTTTGATAAAGACTGAAGTTATGTTAATAGCTTTCCTTTATAAAATAAAGTTCTCTTTTTACCCTTTACTCAACCTAGTTGTTGAGTAGACTGGATTCCTCTGCACGTACTAGTGTACGTGAGGTTTCGCGGCACCCCGAACAAAGGGTGCCCCGTAACACCTGATAGCACTTTGTAGTCCGTCCGATGACTACTTAGTGTCCGTTCAACATGAACATGGTGGATGTAGAAGACGACAGCTTTCACGTCACACGTGAAGGCTACTCCCATCTGAGTGACTCAGAATGGGAGATAGTCGGCCGCATGAGTGTGCTCAGGGGCTAACCCGCCATCAGTGGCATGTTGGAGTCTCTTAGCGGAGACCAGCAACATGCTGCTATCAACAAGTTCCTACAAGGGGAACTTGCCGTCGAAAGACAGAAGATAGCCTTGCTACAACAGCAAGGCTCTCATCAGTCGATGGGCGGGCGACGCACACGAGTCGACCTGAAACCTTGAAGATAGACATCGCAAGGTACAAAGGAACCGACGAAAATTCCCTTTTGAGATGATTCGTCGAGTTAGACGATTTCATCAGGGCCCGTCACATCGAGGGTGACAAGATGCAAGTTGCCTTCACCCTGTCAAATTTGACAAGACGAGCAAAGACTTGGGCATTAGGGCTCAAGCTTCACGACCCAAAGCCTTTGAGTCGTTAGAGATCTTGGAGTCTCGGCTTAAAGAGACGTTTCAGACGCCGAGAGCCGAGTTTAGAGCACGCTCTGCACTCCTGAGGCTCAAGCAACGTAAGCATGATGTGCACGATTACGCACAGCACCTGCACTGCCTTGCGATTAGCGTCACGAAAAACCCTGTTGATGAGCACACACTCATCAACGTGTTCATCTACAGCCTTGTAGATGGGCCGATGAAGACCTACATGTTCCTAGAGGACTTCCATACGCTGAAAAGGGCGATAGCGTATGCGGAACAAGAAGACTTCAGCCTGAGGCAGTCTCAGGCTAACTCGTCAAACTATCGTCCGAAGAGACGACAAGAAACAGGAGGTCCCGAACCAATGGAACTCTGTTATATCGAGAGCGAGAACTCCCTCTCTCTGAGTCACCAGCGATCGGCAAGATGTCATCGCTGTCAGAAGATCGGACACTATGCTCATGAGTGTAGTGTCCCAAGCACCGCATCACGTCCAAAGACAGGACGTGATGACCGCCGTTGATCGAGGAATGGTCCAAGGCGCAATTCCAACCATGTCGCTAAATCGCGACAGCAAGTAGGATCTTCAAAAAACGGACAGGGTCAGTAGGGGCGATCACCCTGCTTATCTAGCAACTTCAAGAATATTTGAAGAATCGAATGACAAATTTGATGTCTTTTTTGGTCTTCCATGGCTTAGAAAGTACCAGCCATGGATCAGCTGGCAGCATCGATATGTGAAGGTTCCAAGACGTTCATCAGATGGCCATCTGATGAACGTCTTGGAGCGTCCACAAGCGTGTGGATGTATTACGAGTGAGTGCGATGGCCTCACTTGTGGTACGGTCGTTAGCATTACTGCACAATATTACTGTGTAGAAGGCCACTACACTGTGGAACCAGCTTCCGGCACCTGTGTAGAGACACAGGCTGCGCCGAAGGTTTACCACTCGAAGAGATCGAGCGGACTGGAACACGGATGGACAACAAAAAAGTGCATCCAAGAAGAGAGATCAGTGTTGTTCAGGATGAACAGCACGTTGAAGCGAGATCGATTATCAGAGAGTCTATCGTAGAGTAGCCCGATCGACTGAAAGAGAGTCGATCGAAGAGGACGTGAGTGGTAGTACACCCACAGTCAGTACGCGTATTGGAAGAAAGCTCCAGCTTTCATGAGAGTAATAACTCCTGAGAGAGTTATGTTAAGGGTGTGGATCCACAACACCTGCGGATGTGATTTCAAGTAAGGCACCGAGACTGATGTCTTGGTGAATGACGGATCAATTGTAGACTCCTATACATTTGATCTGGTTACACCTCCGAAGTCAGCATCGGAGTTAATCAAGCTGCCAATGATAGAATCTAAAAGATTCTTGCGAGATCTGCGTAGTGACAAGATCAAGCAGATCTGCGATACTCGTCACAGAGGACGAGTACGCTGACGATATTCGGTCGGCACAAGTGTTTGCGGAGAATTTACGGGTTTTCAGTAGCTCATCGATGGACGAGGGTGTCCTCGATGAGAAGACCCGGATTGAGCGATACACGTCTCAATTTTGGGAGTCTCTAAAGCCAAATCCTTTGTATAAGGATTTGGCTGAATTCAAGGATGTTTTACCTAAATCCGTGCCATGCGAGCTGCCCAAGGACAAAGGCACTTGGCATGAGATCGATCTGAAACCCGGTTCGAAGTACTGTGTGATGAAGCATTGGCCACTGCCTCGTGAACAGGTCACAGCGATCAACAAATTCTTTGCCAATCGCTTAGCGGCTGGTCATGTGAGGGAATCAACATCCTCACACAGCTCTCCTACCTTCTGTGTGCGCAAGGACACAGGGGGGTGGTGAATAGTGCATGCGGTCAACATATTGAACGCTGCAACGTTAACGGCTCAGACTCCGATACCAATAAAGGATGTCATCATAGATGGTATGGCAAAAGTACCATCTTTTCGTCCATGGATCTGATAGATGGATTCTATCAGATCATCATGCGTGAACGGGAAATCCCGTACACAGCAGTGAGAACCCCCAGTGGTATGCTCTGGAATTGGATCGTGATGCCACAGGGGATAAGCAACGCCCCTGCAACGTTCAACAGATGTGTTACGAATATGTTGCGATCGGTGCGCGATTTTGCACCGAGTTACTTTGACGATGTCTTCGTCCATAGCTGGGCTATGGATGGAAAGACGGACGTGGAGGCTCATAGAATCCACGTCCGAAAGGTTCTTACACTAATGCGAGAGTTTAAGTTGTTCGCGAAACTCAAGAAGTGTATATTTGCAGCGAAAAAATTACCGCTTCTTGGCTGCATCGTGGGTAAAACGGCGTACGCCCTGATCTGGAAAAGATCATGGCGATTGGCGACTGGTCTGTGCCAGTCGACGTCAAGGGACTTAGAAAGTTCCTTGGCTTGGCGGCGTACTTGCACAAATACTCGTGCAACTATGCCGAGATGACCGTACATCTCTCTCGTCTACCAAAGAAAGCGAGAGGTGGTCATGGAGTGATGAGTGTCAGCACTCCTTCGAATGTATCAAGAAAAGCTTATTGCAGTCGCCTGTGTTGGCGATTGCAGACCAGTACAGACCATTCCATGTGGTCTGTGACGCCAGAGATTTTGCGATAGGCTG